GACTGGGGACACTGCAAGTTCCCAGGGAGGCTCTCACCTCTTGCCATCAGGGTGGAAGGCCACGCTGTTGATGGGCCCGAAGTGCCCCTTGACTCTGCCAAACTCCTCCTCAAAAGCCAAGTGAAAGAACCTGGGAGGAGGAAGATTGAAATTGTCACAAGGCCAGGAGGGACAAAACCACAGAATCCTCAAAAAAAACACAAACTCCAGGGTTTCTGCAGCACTGCCAGCTCCCCCAAGGAAAGGGAAGAGCAATCCTGGGGGTGCCAGGAGTGCTCTGGTGAGGGTTCAGCCCTGCCAGAGGGAACAGGACCAACCTGGCCTCGAATTTGCCAATCCTGGTGGAGGTGGTGGTCACATCCATGGCCTCCTGCCCTCCTCCCAGCACCACCTGCAGGGGAGAGAAACCAGAGAAACCACAGCCCCTCATTTAGGGATTTAGGGAATCCTGGCATCACTGAGGTTGGGAAAGGCCTCCAAGATCGAGCCCAGCATTGATCCCCACCTTGAAACGAGTTTAGAGCAGTGAGTGCCAGGTCCAGAGGCTCTCTGGACACTTCCAGAGGTGGGGACTGCCTCTGGCACTTCCCACAGATCCCACAGATCCCACAAATGCATCAGCAGGGCTCCAACCCCTGAGGAATTCCCACCTCCCTGACACATTCCATCAGAGGATTTGTTCCCAGTGCCTGACCCAGCAAAATCCCCCAGGCTCATTCCAGAGTCCTGGTTTTGGGCTGGACTGGGAACTCTCACAATGCAGGATTCCCAGGACTGGGGACACCTCAGGGAGCTCATCCTTACGTGGTCAAAAATGGGGGAAAGGGCAGCAGAGTTCACCGGCCGCTCCGTGCGGAACGTCTTCAGGTGCTCCAGGGATGTGCAGTCAAAGAGCTACGAGGGGAAAGGAGAAACTCATGAATCAGCTCCAGCTGCTGGCCTCACCTCCACGGGGCTCCCTCTGCAAGCTCAAATCCCAAAAATATTCCCCAGAACGGCAAATCTTCCACCTTCCAGAACTGACAAACTGCAAATGTTCTATAGAAATACCAAAATGTTTCATTTTCAGTGCTTGGCTGATCAATTAGCACCTCCCCTTTCTCACTGGACATTCCCAAGGAGCACAACTCCCTCTGAGCAGAGATCCTGGCAGGAAACCTGCAGGAAAGGCTCACCTTGGCTGTGTTGTCCTTGGAAGCTGTGATGAACATGGTCATGTCCCGGGAGGTCTGGATGTCGTTGATTTGCTTGGTGTGCTCCTTGATATTGGACAGCTGCTCCCCTGACTGGGGGGAAGAGGAGTTTTATGGAGCTGGGAAGGGATTCCCTCACTAAGAATAACATGCAATGGGACCCTGGGTGGGAATTTAGGAGTGGATTCAGCTCCATGTTTCTGCTCTGTGGCACTTCCAGCTCAGTCTCACTCGGAGGAGCCTCAGACTTTAACAGAGGAGGGGAAGAGGAATTTCCAGGGAGCTGGGAAGTGATTCCCTCATAAAAACAACTTGGGGCATCACGGAATGGAATCCTGGAATGCTTTGGGTGGGAAGGGAATTTAGGAATGGATTCAGTTCCAGGTCCCTGCTTTGTGTCACTCCCAGTCACACACAGGGGAGCCTCAGATTTTAAAAAGAGGAAGGAAAAAGGAGTTTTCAGGGAGCTGGGAAATGGTTCCCTCATTAAAAACAACATGGAATGGAATCCTGGAATGCTTTGGGCTGGAAGGGAATTTAGGAACGGATTCAGTTCCACCTCTCAGTGCTGTGCCAACTGCAGCCTCACCCAGGGCAGCCCCACATTTACTGGTCCTTGCTGAAGGTGCTGCTTGGAGCCCCCAGCCCCCTCCAGCCCTGCTCCCCGGACGCTGGCCCAGGCTGGCCAGGCCTGACCTTGGCACTGAACTGGTTGAGCTCCCCGTTCTCGTGGCCAGCGATGATGAACTCCCCGAGCGGGCCCCACACGGCGCTGGTGATCTTGGAGTCACTGCAGGGAATCTTCATGTAGGGCTCGTTGTTCTCTGGGGGAAGCAGCAATCAGCCACCCTCCCCCAGCACGCTCCCTCCACGGCCCTGCTCGGCTGGGATTTGGGCTTTCAGTGTGGATTCCTGGTGGTTTGGATTGATGGAGCTCGGGGGCAGCACTTTGGAATGCCACAGGGAAGGGGAGGAAGGAATTGTGTCCTCGCTGATGTGATCACCCCCCAACCACTCCCAGCCATCCAGCAAAGAGATTTTTTAGGGAAGCATCTCCTCTGCTCCATCCCTGCAAACATCCCAGGCCAGGCTAGAGCACCTGGGGACAGGGGAAGGAATGGGCTGAGGTTTCAGGCTGCCCCACGCCCAGCAAGCCCTGTGGGGTCCCCGAGGGGTCCCCGGCCCCTCACCGATCTGGCTGGGGTCCCTGAGGTCGAAGAAGCTGACGAAGCACTGGTAGCCCATCTGCTTGTCCGTGGAGAACATGATGATGTTGCCCCCGAAGTCGAAGCCGCACGTCCTCACGGCCGAGCTGGTCTTCACCAGGGCCAGCTGCTTCCCTGGGACACGGGGAGAGGGCAGGGAGCTGGGAGCTCCTTCCCTCCTTAAAAACAGCCCGGGAGAGCAGGGGGTGGAACCTGGGATGGGAACTGGGGTGCTCTGGGTGGGAATCTGGGAGTGGATTCAGCTCCAGGTCTGCGCTGTGCCAATTCCAGCCTCGCTCAGGGGAGCCCCAGGTTTTAACAGGGGAGGGGAGAGGAATTGTCAGGGAGCTGGGAAATGATTCCTTCATTAAAAACACCTTGGGAGAGCGTGGGATGGGAACTGGGGTGCTCTGGGTGGGAATCTGGGAGTGGATTCAGCTCCAGGTCCCTGCTCTGTGACAATTCCAGCCTCGCTCAGGGAACCTTAGATTTTAACAGGGGAGGGGAGAGGAATTTTCAGGGAGCTGGGAAATGATTCCTTCATTAAAAACACCCATCCTCGTTGGGAGAAGGTGCTGGAACAGAATGGAACTCTGGGACGGAACCTGGGATGCTCTGGGTGGGAATTTGGGAGTGGATTCAGCTCCAGTCCCTGCTCTGTGCCAATTCCAGGTTTGCCCAGGGGAGCCCCAGATTTTAAGAGGGAAGAGGAGTTTTCAGGAAGCTGGAAAGTGATTTCCTTACTAAAAACAGCCTGGGAAAGCATGGAATGGAATCCTGAAATGCTCTGGGAGGGAATTTAGGAATGGATTCAGCTCCACACCTGTGCTGAGGTGTCATTCCAGCCTTGCTCAGGGAATCTCAGATTTTAGAAGTGAAGAGGGATTTTCAGGGAGCTGGGAGGGGATTCCCTCACTAAAAATAACATGGAATAAAACCCTGAAACGCTCTGGGAGGGAACCTAGGAGTGCATTCAGCTCCACACCTTTGTGCTGTGCCACTTCCAGCCTTGCTGGGGGGAACCCCAGATTTGAACAGAGGAGGGGAAGAGGGAATTCCGGGGAGCTGGGAAACGTTTTCCTCATTAAAAACAGAGTGTCCCAGCAGAGCCCCAGCCCCAGCAGTGCCCCAGGGGTGCCCCAGGGGTGTCCCAGGGGTGTCCCAGGGGTGTCCCCAGCCCCAGCAGTGTCCCAGCAGACCCAGGGGTGTCCCCAGGGGTGCCCCAGCCCCAGCCTCACCTGTCTCACAGTCCCACAGGCGGCAGCTGTTGTCTGCAGAGCCGGTCAGGACGTGCCTGGTGTCCCCTGGGCCACCATTAAGGCAAAACCAGCCCCCAGCTCCCCTGCCCGGGCACTCAGAGAACGTCTCTGCACCCAAAAAGGGATTTCTCTGGGGGAAAAATCTGCCCCAGGGAAGGCAGCACGGAGCCAAGTGTTCCATGGCAAAATCCCATCTCTTCCCATGGAATTTAAAAGAAAAAGTTTGGGGTTATTTTGGTTTTTTTTTGTTTTGTTTTGGTTTTTTGTGGTTTTTTGTTCGTTTTTTGGTTTTTTTGCATTTAAATAAGTTTTCCACAGTTTTATCTCTGCTGCCTGTGGAAAATCTTCCCAAACACCCAGAGAAGCAGCAAAAGGGCACAACAAACCCAGGTATCCGTGGGGATGTTCCTCCAAATGGGAAAGGGAGAGGCAGCAGAAGGGTCTGAATGCTCCTTTTGGAGAGGAACACGAGGAGACGCCGGGGATGATTCAGCCCCAAAACACGGAACAGAACCGGGCTGGATCAAAGGATACAGTCGGCATCCACACACCACACAGCCCCCGTGTGCCCGTTGTAGGTGCCCAGCCGCTCGCCATTCACCGAATACCAAACGTTGACAATCTGCGCGGAGGGGGAAAAGTGATTAAAAATTAGCGATTCGTTAATTATCGGTTAATTAGGGGGGGTGGGCAGCACTCACGGGGTCCTTGGCCACGGTGAACAGCAGGTCTCCCTCGCGGTTGTACTTGATCTGCGTGATGGAGCGCTCATGGCCCTGCAGCAGGATGGGCTTCTGTAATTAATGATTAAATAATAAATTATTAAATGAGTGAGGGCCGGGAAATGAGGGTGAGGGCGGGGGGAGAACGCGGACCCCGGCCCGGGGCTCCTGTGGCGCTGAGGGGCGGCCAAGGAGCTCCGGGCCGGGGCTGTGGAGCCGCTAAATGAGCGGTGGCGAGCGAAACTCGCGAGCCCCGAGCCCGCGGCCACCCCGCTCTCACCATGGCGGCCACGCTGAGGCCTGAGGGGCGGCACTTCCGGGGTGGCGGCGGCGCGCCGGATGTACGTCACGGCCTCCATGGCAACAGAGGGTTTTCCGGGTGAAGCAGGAAGTGCGGCGCTGTTGCCATGGCGACCGTGGGTGAGGCGGGAGCGATGGCGGCGGGGAGGGTTTGCTTGGGAAGGGGGAAAACGCGGCCGGGGCGGGCCTGAGGGGGAGCGGGGAGGTTGGGGACGGGGGGCCGGGCCCTTGTGGCAGGACGCGAGCGCGGGGTGGGGAAGGCGCGGGGGATCGCGGTCCCGGGACAGCTGGGGCCGCTCCGGGGCGGGGGCGCTGCCCGGAGCGGGGCCCTGGAGCAGAGGCTGGGCTGAGCTAGAGAATAAAGCAGGGATTTATGGAAATGCCGTCAAAGGATGCACCTCGGGCAGCACGAGGGCCCGGCCACGGTTCCACCCAAGGCGGACCCAAGCCGTGAGTGTCACACTTCTATGAGTTCCGGTCCGTGTCCCTGCCGGGCTCGCTGTCCCGTTCCAGCGCAGTCCCACCCTCCCAGGCTGCCCTCCTCCGTTCCCTGCTCCCACTTTTTGTGTGACGCGTCCTTGGCTGTGGCCTGGAGGAGGATCGTTGTGTGCCGGAGCTGTGAGGAGAGCTCTGGCTTGTGCGGAGCTCTGAGGCACGCTGGGGACTGCACAGGCTGGGAAATGTGAAAATGTGAAAATGTGAAAATGTGGCGGCATCAAGGGGGCGGAGGCCGGGCCGGCCCCACGGCTCTGACCCCGATATTCCAGAGGCAGGGCAGGGCTGGCTCCAAGGCTCTGACCCCGATATTCCCGGGGCAGGGATGGCCCCATGCCCTGACCCCAAGGGCAGGGATCACTCCATGGCTCTGACCCCGCTGTCCCGGGCCGGGCAGGGCTGGCCCAGCCCCTGGCCCGGCTGTCCCCGCAGGGCAGGGCTGGCTCCAAGGCTCTGACCCCGATATTCCAGGGCTGGCCCAGTCCCCGGCCCGGCTCTGACCGCGCTGTCCCGGGCCGGGCTGGCTCCATGCCCTGACCCCAAGGGCAGGGATGGCTCCGTGCCCTGACCCCGCTGTCCCCGCAGGGCAGGGCTGGGATGACTCCTTGGCTCTAACCCCGCTGTTCCCGGGGCAGGGATGGCCCCATGCCCTGACCCCGCTGTCCCCGCAGGGCAGGCGCTGGCGCTGGCGCTGGCGGCCGCGCTCTGGGGCGGCTCGGGGCCGTTCCTGCGGGCGGCGGCGGCGGAGGAGCCATATTATATAGTATTATTCTATAATATATATGCAATATTATTATATATAAAATAGAATATATATGTTTTTAAATATATACATTTTATTTATTATATTTACATATTAAAATGTATATTATATTTATATAGATATAGTTTAATATATTTAATATTATATTTATGCATATAGATATATTTCTAAATATAATTTTTAAAAATATTTTTATATATTATACATATCGACATATTTTATTTAAATTTCTATTCTATTCTATTCTATTCTATATATGACGCTAGTTATATACACAACTATAACTAATGGCATTCTTTCTCGTTGATGTCTTGGCTCCTGCGAGTTGTTGTTAATCACCAAGGTCCTGTTAGAGCACAGTTTGTAATCTGTACTCCCTTTTAACTGCTGTTTGCTATAACATAATCTGGCAGGTGTTGTATGCACCGAGTAGTTTATATACAAACAGTGTGATAAATGCAGCTTAGACCTTGTCATGCTGTTGAAATAGAAACTGTGCTGTTAAATACTTTAATGTGGAACTCACTCGGGTCAGAGTGTGAAATAGCTCAGAGCACTGTGGGCTCTCACCTGAACCACAAGATAAAGTGACACGGACCAGGCACCTTTTTTTGTTTTTCACACACCCTCCCTTTGCTGGGCTCCGTGCTGAATCCCCATCCTCAGTGGGTTGCTCCTGCAGCCCTGCCCTTCCCCTGCACAATTCCCAGCCCTGCCAGGTGTCCTGGGCTGGGCTGGCACCCCCGTGTGCCAGGCGGGACCCCAGCAGCCCCTGCTCTCCTGCAGTACCTGGTGCCCGTCCTGCTCAACCAGGCTGGATCCCTGCTCTTCTACCTCACCCTGGCCTCCACAGGTCAGTGCCTGCTGCTTTTCTGGGCTTCGCTGGGATTTTGTGGGTCACTGACTCGGCCAAACAGCACGCAGCTCCCTTGGAATAATCCCAGATAAACCAAACGGGAATAATCCCAGATAAACCAAATGGGAATAATCCCAAATAAACCAAATGGGAATAATCCCAGATAAACCAAATGGGAACAATCCCAAATAAATCAAATGGGAATAATCCCAGATAAACCAAATGGGAATAATCCCAAATAATCCAAATTTCTCCACTTGAAACTTGCATTCCAGACCTGTCCCTGGCAGTGCCACTCTGCAACTCCCTGGCTTTGGTTGTGACCTTGGTGACTGGGAAAATCCTGGGAGAGGACATTGGGGGGAAAAGTGAGTCCCACTTCAAGCATTTCATCAAGAAATCAGCTTTTATTGGATTGAGATGATTTGATTTGATTTTTAATGTGGGGGATTTGATTTTCAATGTATAATTTAATTTATAATCTGGTCTGAAGACACCAAACCCTCCACAAGGTTTGAACTGGGTCAGAGCAGCTTTGGCTGCAGGGAATTGAAATGGGAAAGGGAATTGGAACAGATTTTTGGGCAGAGTTGGTGAATTTAAAGCCAGAATTGGCTGTTTTAAGCTAAAAGGATTTATATTTCCCTCAGGAGATGTTTAACCATTAATAAAATGCCCACCAGGAAAAAGGAGTGGCCCAAAAGGCCCCAAAAGTCAGGTGGTCAGGAAAAAGCAGGAAATTGGGGATTTCAAACTGCAGGAGCTGGAGAAGCAGCTGGGCTGTTGCTTGGGGCAGATCCCCAGTTCATCCCATTTACTGATCACTGATTTGTTCCTCCCCAGGGGCTGTGGCAGGAATGCTGCTGACCATGCTGGGAGTGTCCCTGTGCCTGGCGGGGGCCTGAGCAGCAGCAGGGGCTGCTCCTGCCCCAGCCCCACCTGCGAGGGTGTTTTGGGGTGGCCAGATCCCTGGAGTGCCCTCCCGGAGTGCCAGCACTGCAGGGACAGCCACTTCTGTGCCTTGAGGGGGCCTGGGGGCTCTTTGCAGAGCAGTGTCCTGTGCAGCACTGCAGGGGTAAGAAATGGTTAATAAATTGTCCCGTGGGACCTCCTGGCACTGGTGGATTTTTGATTAACCCAAACCCTTCTGAGCACACTCCTGCCCACCCCAAACCCTCCCTGCTGAGCCCAGCCCAGTTCCCAGGGATGCAAAGGCAGCAGCAGGAACTCGGGGCTCTTTGATCCCCCAGGATCTGGTCCAGGATCAGGAGCAGCCAGCAGGTTCCCACCAGGATTCCTGGATCAGCAGCTCGTGTCCCCCCACGCCCAGGTGCTGTCACCTCCCTGTCGTGGTTTGGGAAGTCCCAAAGGTCCTGTCCTGTCCTGGACACAGCCATGGACACAGCAGGAGAAATCAGGGAGCCAGGCAGCAACAGGTTCAGCATCAGGAAAAGTTTTTTATTTCCAAAAATAAAAAGAATTCCAGAGCAGAAGGATCCACATCTGCAGTGGGGTCAGGGCAGGGGGCACAGCACCACGGGGAAAGTCCCTGTCTGAGGGACCTGGGATGTCCCTGAGCTGGAGGAACTGAGAAAGCACCAGGTCCTTTCCTGCCCCTCCCCAGGAGAGAATTCCCAGAGGCAGGAATGAGCCTCACCCCAAGGACCAGGGGGCTGGGCCTCCCCACAGCCCAGCCAGGGACTCCTCCCCACTCAGCACTCCCGAAAATGCACTGGGACAGCCTGGACCCTGCAGAGCCACCCAGAGATTCCCTGGAATCCCCCAGCTCCGGGAACAGCTCCTTCCTGCAGCAGCGCCACAGCACCAGCTGGGGGTGACAACGCCACATCCAGCTGGAGCCAGCCAGCCCAGGCAGGACCCCGGGGGGGGATGGATCCCTGTGGGATGGATCCCGGGGTGGGATGGATCCCCCAGGACACCCCCCTGGCTGGCGGGGCTCAGTCCTGCTCACAAATACCCACAAGAGGATTTTCTTCTGTTCTCCTGGAGTGAAGCCATCCCTGAGCTGCCCCTGTCCCCTCGGGGCTTCTCCCCAGCAGGGCAGGACCTGGGGGTGCTGCTGGGAACACCCAGCTTCTGCTTCAGCAGCAGGAACTGCAGACACAAAACCTGCTTCACATTTCTTTGTATTTCCTATCTGTTTCTTTATATTTTCTTTGATATCTCTATTTCCTATTTCCTTTTCTATTGTCTTTGAAATTTCTTTCTATTTTCTATTTTATTTTATATTTCCTTTGATATTTCTATTTTAATATTCCTTTATATTTTCTATTTCTTTCTATTTTCTTTGATATTCCTTTATATTTTCTTTGATATTTCCTTTGATATTCCTTTACATTTCCTTTGATATTTTACTATATTTTCTTTGATATCCCTTTATATTTTCTTTGATATTTCCTTTGATATTCCTTTACATTTCCTTTGATATTTTGCTATATTTTCTTTGATATTTTGCTATATTTCCTTTGATATTTTGCTGTATTTTCTTTGATATTTTGCTATATTTTCTTTGATATTTTGCTATATTTTCTTTGATACTCCTATTTTCTCTGAGACTATCTTTTCTATTCCTATTTTCCTATTTCCTTCATACTTTCCTTTCCATTTTCCCCTTTCCTCTGCCCTTTCCTGCCGTCCCCGTTTCCCTCCCCGTCCCCACTCACGTGTTTCCTGCTGCTGATGGCCTGCTGCACCCACAGCAGCTCCAGCAGGAGATGCTCCCTGTGGGACTGCAGCTCCCGGCGGGGCAGCCCCTGCAGCTCCTCGGGGATTCCTGCCCAGAAAGAGAGCAGCCCAAAGCTCAGCCCCGCGGGCTGCTCCAGCACTCCCAGAACATTCCGGCTGTTTGGCTCTCACCTGGGCTGGCTCCCAGCTCGCTGCCGTCGCTGGCCCACGCCAGGGTTCCCTCCTCATCCTCCTCCTCCTCCTCATCCTCCTCCTCGGGGCTCTGAGCAGCACCACGCCCCAAATCCGGGGGGTTTTGGGGGTTTTTGGGGTTTGGGGCCGAGCTGGGGATGTTCCCAGCCCGCGCTGCTCCACGAGGAGCCGGCTCCGCCCGGGTTTTTCTGGGAATGGTTCTGTTCCCTGCAGCACCACGCCCCAGACCCGGAAGGGTTTGGGGGGTTTTGGGGTTTTTGGGGTTTGGGGCCGTGCCCCAGGGCAGGGGGGCTGCGGGGGGGATGTTCCCACAGCTCCCACCCCGCTCTGCTCCACGAGGAGCCGGCTCCTCCCGGGCTTTTCTGGGAATGGTTCTGTTCTCTGCAGCCTCCCCTGGATCCAAGGGATTCCCTGCGGAGGGCTGGGTAAGAGGGGAAAAAGGGAAAAGAGGGGAAAAAAGATCCCAATGCAATGAGGGAGGGGAAAAAATATGAGAAAGATATTTTTAAAAATCAAGAAAGCGTGAAAAAAGATGAGAGGAATAGGAAGAAAACACAGAGATGAGTAAGAAAAAAATAGGAAGAAAAAATAAAGAAATATAAAGAAACAGAAAATAAAATATTGAAGAAAAATCAAAGAAATGTAAAAGAAAATATCAACAAAAATATTAAAATAAAAGATATATGAAAGAAAATATCAATAAGCATCAAAGAAAATATTAAAATGAAATATATAAAAGAAAATATCACGAAACATAAACATATCAAAGAAAATATTAAAATAAACAGAGAAAATATTTCAAATATGAAGAAATATACAGAAATATCCCAAAAAATCAATGAAATATCAAAGAAAATACTAAAAGAAACAAAATAAAATACACAAAAGAAAACAGAACATCGGTGCCAGCTGTTACCACCACCCTGCCCCGCCCGGAGCCACCCGAGCTCTCCCGGTGCTCCCGGGCAGCCCCGGTGCTCCCGGCTGTCCCCGGCTGTCCCGGGCAGTCCCGGGCAGTCCCGGCTGTCCCGGGCAGTCCCGGTGCCCCCGGCTGTCCCGGGCTGTCCCGGTGCCCCCGGTCAGTCCCGCTGTCCCGGTCCCTCCCGGGCTGTCCCGGTGCCCCGGGCAGTCCCGGTGCTCCCGGGCAGTCCCGGTACCCCCCGCACCTCGGGGCCGAAGCGCGGGCTCTGCAGGACGCGGCCGCTCCAGCGCAGCTGCCGCAGGTCGCCCTCGATCTCCAGCACCACGGCCTCGAACTCCGCCCGCACGCTCCGCAGCCGCCGCCGCAGCAGGAACCCCCTGGCACAGGCCTGGCACGGCCCGGGGGCAGCGCTGGAACGGAACCGGGCCGGGCCGAGCCGGGCCGGGCCGGGCCGGCACCGAACGGCAGCGCCGGCGGCAGCATCCCCGCGGCCGGGGAGCCCTCACGGGGAGCCCTCACGGGGAGCCCTCACGGGGGAGCCCCCACGGGGGAGCCCTCTCATCGGGCCGCGACCGCCGCCGCCATGGCGGGGGGGACCCGGCGGGGCCCGGCCGGGAGCGGCGGGGGCGGGGGCAGGGGGGATCGGGGTCAGGGCGCCGCGTCCTCGGGGTCCGAGCTCTCGGCCAGGTGCAGCTTCTGTCTGAGAGCGGGTCAAGGGAAAGCGCCAGCACCGTCACTGTCACCAGTGTCATTGTCACGACTGGCATTGTCACCACGGTCACTGCCCCATTGCCACCGCCACCCTCATCGCTGCCACCATGGCCACTGCCACTGCCACCCCTGCCAGTGCCACTGCCACCAGCCAAGGATACATGGAGCTGCTGAGCTCTTCCAGCTGTGGGAGCAAAGGCAGAGGCTGAGGGCGCGGAGGGGACCCCGGGCGGGGCACAGGGGTGACACAGCGTGTCACGGCGTGCCACTCACGTGTGCCAGCAGCTGGTCCAGGTTCCTGTCGGCCGCCGCCTTCTTCTGCTCCTCGGGCAGCTCCTCCACGCAGCCGTCCAGGCCGAAGTGCAGCCGCGCCAGCTTCTCCTGCATCTCCCGCACGTGCTCCAGCTGCTCGAAGGAGCACGCCTTCCCTGGGGACAGCAGAACCTTCCAGAACAGCCCCAGCGCCTTCCCTGGGGATCAGCGCCAACCCTCAGCCTGCGCCTGCTCTGTGGATCCACCAGTGACCCTCCATGGAGCCATGGATTCCATCATCCATCATCCATCCATCCATCCATCCATCCATCATCCATCATCCATCCATCCATCATCCATCCATCCATCCATCATCTCCCGGCCCATTCCTTCCCTTGGACCCAGCATTTTCCCCATCCCACCCCCTCCCTGTGGATCCTAAATTCCCCAGCCCCAAAATTCCCCAGTTTGCTCCTTCCCCGTGCCCAACCCACCTCACCCCACCCCATGGATCCCACCCCGCGGATCCCACCCCTCGCCCCTGACCGAACGCCTGCAGCTTTCCCGAGTGGAAGTCGCTGAGCAGGCTGAGCAGCCCGCGCTCCATCTCGCACACGTCGGACACATCGGTGAGGAAGCTGTGCTGCAGCGGGGCCCCCCGGCCGCCCCCCGCGCCCGCCCGCGCCCGCTCCTTGCTGGCCCTGCGGGGAGCGCGGCGTTGGCACCGGCACCGCCGCTCGGGGCCGCCCGGTGCCCCCGGGCCGCACGCGGGCTGGGCCGGGCAGCGCTGCGGGCTCCGCTTCCTCCGGCGCTCCTCCATGGCCCCGGCGCCCGGGCTGCGCAAACGCCTGACCTGCACGGACACGAGGCTCGGGAGAGAAGCCGGGACGCGGGGACGGAGCCGGGGGACCCGGGTTAAGCAGGGCCAGCCGCGGGCAGCGGGCGCCGCTGCGGGAGGAGCGGAGCGGGAGCTCCGTGCCCGTTCCCGGGGGCTCCGCTCGCTCCCCGCGCCCGGAGCATCCCCAGGAGCTCGGCCGGGGCCTGGCCCGCAGCCGCACTCGGGCGGAAAAGAGGATTTCGGCCCCAAAACACCGCGGCGAGAGCGCAGCGTATGGGCACCGTCACCCCTTTGTCCCGCCGAGCCCCGAGCGGCGCCGGGAGCGGGCAGCCCCGGCGGAGCGGAGCCCCTTTGTCCCCTTTGTCCCCTCTGTCCCCGAGCTCCCTCCGGAGCGCCACGGCCGGGACTGACCTGAGCCAGGCCCGCTCCGGCCTCCGGGACCCGCGGGACACCCCGAGCCCGCCGGACGCCGACCGCACCGCCCGGGATCTGCATTTAAAGGGAAAGGGAACTTCCTCCGGGCCCGCCGGGCAGCGGCTGCCGCAGATCCGCGGACGTGCCCCGGGATCCGCCCGGGATCCGCGTCCCGCGGGGCCGGAGCGGGGCCGGAGCCGCTCCCGAGCCCGCGGAGCCCCGGGCGGCTCCTGCCGCCCCTCCCGCCCCCCGGCTGTACCCCGAGTCCCCTCCGGTGTCCCCGCGATCCGTCCCTGCTGGAGGCAGCCGGGCAGGGCCGCCAGCCCTGGCGCAGCGCCGGGATTGACAAACCCCGGCCCCCGCCCCAGCCCGAGCGCGGCCGCTCCTGTCAATCCCAGGGTTTTTAACCGATCTTGGGCATTCTGGAGCCCGTGCGGGCACAAGGGACGGGCCGGGAGAGGGGCGGTACCCCCAGGGCTGGTGGCTCTCGGGGGCTGCAGCATCCCGGAGGGAGATGCCAGCGGCTGGGGACACCCCGCTGTCCCCCCGAGCAGGGACATCCCATCCCCACCGCAGCAAAACGCCCCTCGCAGCCTCGCCCGGCTCCTTCCCAGGGGAAAGGAGGAGCAGAGCTCTGGGACAGGGCAGGAGTTTGTGGGGATTGGGGCTGTGTGTGGGTTTTGTGTGCAGTTTGAGGGGTTTGGGGCTGTCTGCAGGTTCTGGAGGGAGCAGAGGGCTCACAGGTGCCATGCACGAACGTGAGGGGTATAAAAACTTGGGTAAAGAACAAGGGCAGATGCTCGCAGCCTCCTGAAGTGACACGATGTTACCCTGCAGGGGTTGAAGCTCTCTGAAATTGTACAGTGACACTCTGGATAGTGTGGCTGTCTCAGCTGTGACATCTGCTGTGACAGGACACAGGGAAGTTTTGTCCCACCCACAGCCCAAATTCTTCACCCCCCGTGGAAGAGAGACACCAGAGGCAGCAGCGAGGTTGGGAGTGTTTCTATTGGATACAGGATACACACGAGGAGCTTTCTGTACCTTAACAGGGAAAAGACAGAAAAAAAAAGGGGTTTGGTGAATTCCTAAGGGGTTTTGCTTTTACTCAAGTCCGGATGTGGGCAGCTCAGCCTGGCTGGGTTACATTCATGGATCATCCCAGAGGAACTGAGCTGACAGCAGGGGCTGGAAGACAAAGCCACCCCAGCTCCAGGGACTGTCCCCGTGGGTGCCCAGCACGGCTCTGTGGGGCTCAGAGCCCATCCACGCTGCCCTCCTCAGATCTGGATCCCTGGAGGAGGAGGAGACACGGAGGCAGGTCCTTCATGAGGGGAGATGTGAGAGCAGCTGTGGTGCCAGAAGGGAATCCCAGACAGATCCACTGGATACATCCAAGGTGGGGATCAGCTTCCAGCCCCAGGAAGGCAATGCTGGGAATGAAGTCTGTCACAAACAGAAGCTGCAGCCGGGTCTGAAGCGAGCCCAGTCTTCCAAAAGAACGGCGAAAAAACAAAGTCTTGACAAACCAAGGAAAATCCCAAAACCTGGTGCCAGCAGGTCCCACGCTGTCCCTAAACTCCCTCCCAGCACATCCAGGCCCTGCAGGGTGAGGCAGCACTGGGGAGATGCTCTTCCAAGCAGAGAGGGAAAGGAGCAGTGGGGCTGGGAGAGCACAGGCACCCCCAGGCCAGGGGAGGCAGGAGCAGCCCCAGGGCAGAGCCTGGCAGCTGATCCCAGCCCCAGGGCAGAGCCTGGCAGCCGATCCCAGCCCCAGGGCACGGCCTGGCAGCCGATCCCAGCCCCAGGGCACGGCCTGGCAGCCGATCCCAGCCCCAGGGCACGGCCTGGCAGCTGATCCTGGCTGGAGCAGCAGCTCGAGGAGCACACACAGCTCTGAGGTTTGATCCTCCTGCAGTCCCAGCTCTGTGGATGCCTCCAGGGCTGGGGCAGAGGGGCTCGGGGGCACCTCCCCAGTCCCTGTGCACAACGATGCAAAACACTTGGGAATTAGACCTTTGGGTTAACTGTTTAATACACTTTGTGCACGTGTGCGTTCAGCAAAGAGGCAACTGTGAATTATAAGGCGGTTTTGAGATTGGCAGGGCCTGGGAAGAGCAAAAATTCCCAAGGGTGGGACCAGGCACCCCCTTTCCTGCTTCTCCGCGTCCCCGCTGCAGACACGGAGCCCACGGAGAGCAGGGGAGCAGCCTCTTGAGCCCTCAGCTCACACAGGAGCTGCCAGCAAGAGCCAGTCCAGGAGCTCCCTCCTGCCTGGCAGGGGAAGAGGGAGAATCCAGCACTGGGAATGTTCTGGAATTCTCCCAGCTCTGCTGTCACTCCAGAGTGGAGTCCTTGTGATGGTGGAGGCATGTCCCTTGTCCCTGTGCCTGGGCTCTGCTCTCCTGAGCCTGCCAGTGACCAGGTCCTTGAGTGAGAGGGACAATCAGCTGAGCTTCCATATTTTCAATATTCACACAGGCAGGGAGCTGGGCCCTTCTGCTTCTTATGGATATCCATAGATAAAGTGTTGCCCTGCACATTTTTATATATCTTATATATATATATATATATAAAATCTTAAAAAAACCCTCCAAAAACCTAAACTAGGAAATCTCACATCCCCAAGAGGGCTGTGTCCTGTCCTTCCCCACCTGTCCCAGGGCAGGGAGAGTGGAATCTCAAGCAGCTGCCAGGTCACCCTCCCTGAGCCCAGCCGTGTGCCCTGCCCGGGGCTCAGTCAGTGCCCTGCTCAGTCCCGCTCTGCCCTGCTGCTCCCGTGCTCAGTTCTGCTGGGACTGCTGCAGGGTCTGGGCTCTGTGGGGCCTTTCCTGGGCTCAGGGAATCTGGAGCTGCCTCGGAGGTGTCCCGGGGTGGCTCCTTCAGAGGCTCCAGCAGCTCTGTGTGGGCACACAGGTCCTGCACCTTCTTGTTGAGGTCGTTGCGCTCCGTCTGCAGCGCGCGGCACAGCTTCTCCAGGCGCTGGATCTTCACCTGCAGCCCCTCCAGCTCCTTGTCCCGCAGCGTTTTCTGCAGGAGGCAGGCACACAGGGAGAGGTGAAACCCCACAGGGACATGAGAGAGCAGGGACAGCTTTGAAATGGAGGGAGGGCGGGGTTAGGTGGGATATTGGGATGAAACTCCTCCCTGGGAGGGTGCCCAGAGAAGCTGTGGCTGCCCCTGGAAGTGTCCAAGACCAGACTTGGAGAAAGCTGGGATAGTGGAAGGTGTCCCTGCCCATGGCAGGGGGTGGAATGAGATGAACTTTAAGGTCCCTTCCAGCCCAAACCATTCCATGACTGATTCTAGGGAAGCCTAGAATCCAATAATCTGATTTGGATTTGTCCAGTGATTCCAGGGAAACCAAGCAAACCTCCAACACCCAAAGCACCAAGGAGCTTCTTCCTCCCTCTGCCCTCACAGAGCACCGAGGCAGGACCTGTCCTGTCCCCATCCCACCCTCCCCAGCTGCTCCAGAGCCCCCTCACCTCCTCTGCCATCTCCAGGAGGGCCTTGTTGCTGCTCTCCCAGCGGGAGCGGTACATGGTGGTCTCCTTCTCCAGCTTCTTGATTTTCTTGGTCATCTACAGAAGCACAGAAAGGGCACAAATGGAGTCACAAGATGTCCTGAGCTGAAAGGGACCCACAGGGATCAAAAGAAATAAACCCCAGGGAGAACATTGCAAAGCCACCCCAGATTTTGGGTGTAGATCTAAAATTAACTGAAATTTGGAGCTGGGGCCCTTCCAGCTCCCAGCAGCACGGAGGGAAAAGCATCACCCACCTTCTCCATCTCCTGTTTGAACGTTGTGAACACTTCACTGCTTTTGGAAAGGGTGTTCTGGAACTCCTCAAACTTCTCTGTGTACAGAGCCAGCTGTGGGGAGAGACAGGGAGCTCATGGCTCCAGTGCCTGGAGAGGGGAGAGCCCAGCCACGGGCTGAGCTGCTGCCCTGGGACAAGGACAAACAGGAGCAGCTGCTGTGCCAAATTCTATCCTAGGAAACATCCTCAGAGCAGAGTGTTCCACAAACTCCTCCTGGCTGATCCCATGACTGCTCCCAGCACTGGGAACCATCCCTGAACAAAGCCTCAGCTCACAAAACCACACCCAGCAGGGATCCTGCCCCTCTGCTTTGCAGATTGAGGAACTTTGGGCTGTTCAGGGAGGGAGGGAAATCCCCAAACAAAACAAGCTGAGCAGGGAACTCACCTGCTGCTTGAGGTGGGTCTCCTGCTGCTTCATCAGCTCACACATCCTCTGAGATTCCACAGCTTCCTTCAGCAGCTGGGGAGGAGCAAAGCAGTTACCTGGGACTGCTCCTGGCCCAGCCCTGCTCAGGAGAGGCACAGGGAGCACAGCAGGGCTCCAGGCTGGCTCCTGGACATGCCAGCATCTGGGATAACCCCCAGGATCCACACTAAGAGCCAAAAATTGCCTCCATCAGCTGCTCCAACACTTACAAAATCCTTCTCCCTCTGGTGCCTCTCCTCTGCCTCCTTCAGCATCTCCTGGGCCTGCTGCAGTTTGGCATCCACCAGCTGCTGCTGCAGCTCCTTGTGCTTGAACACCTTGTCGATGTGCTGCAGGGGAACAGCAGCACAGCTCAGGGCACAGCCAGGGCCCCCTGCCCGGCCTGGGGCAGCAGGAGGGGCTCCCAGGGCTGACCCACCTCCTCCCTCAGCTCGTACTGCTCGATGAGCTTCTTGAGCCTCTCGGCCAGCTCCATGTTCTCCTGGCGCAGCTTGGAGTTGCGCTCGTTGTGCTGCTCCATCTGCAGCTGGATGTCGTTCAGGGTCACCTGGAAGTGAGAGGTCACCTCCTTCCTCTTCTCCTCCTCCTCCCTGGCACGCTGGACGCCCTCCTCCTGCGTCGGGGATGCGGCAGGTAAGGGAGAAATTCCCCAGAATGATGCTCCCAAAACACCCAGCCTCCCGTGACTCCTTACATCCATCAGGAAAACTTCCCAAAAGGATGTTCTTACATCCATCAGGAAAACTTCCCAAAAGGATGCTCCCAACCCATTCAGCCTCCCACGACTCCTTATATCCATAAGAAAAACCTCCCAAAATTATGCCCTTACACCCATCAGGAAAACTTCTCAAAATGTTGCTCCCAAGCCATTCAGCCTCCTGATATTCCTTACATCCATGAGGAAAAGCTCCCTAAATGACGTTCCCAACCCATTCAAGCCTCCCATTCTTCCTTATATCCATCAGGAAAACTTCCCAAAGTTATGTTCCCAACCCACCCAGCCTCTCATTATTCCTTCCATCCCTCAGGAAAGAACTCTGGGCCTTCCCCTTCCCTTCCTCCAGGGGACAAACCCCGAAACAACAACCCAGACACTGCAGCCAGGGTGTCTCAAGAGCAAAGCCTGCCCTGGTGGCAGCGTGGGGACAACCCGGGGAGGGGAGGGCAGGGCAGGGAGGGGGAGCACCTTGAGGGTGCGGTTGTGCCGCTGCAGCTCGCGGCACAGGCTCTCCAGCTTGCTGCGCGCCA